TTCGGACCCCCTACATACGTTCACGTTTGTTTTGATAAGTAGTGGTGTTCACCGAGTGTAAGCCTATTCTCCAAAGAGTGAGGTTACGGGCTTGGAGGATAGCAGGGTAATACGTTAAAACTTGTGTATGCGTATAGGTAAACAAAGAATTTGTTTAGATAGGGTGATATATTAATACTCCCACATTGGCATTTACTTATGCAAGTGGGTCGCCAAAGTGAGAATTGGGTATTGTAGGTAACTGCTGAGTACGTTCGCACAAAAACTTTCGATTAAAAAAACTAATAGAATATTTCCAAGTATTGTAGTTATACCTGCTAAAGTTTACTAGAGCGGAATTCGCCGGCAATGTAGTATTCTTCAGTGACGAAAGTTGAGATTAATCAGTTCGTAAAAACATCCACACCTCTACCAGTATTCAAATGGGTAGTCAAGATAAATACGTTCTTGGCTTTCATTTCATGTTATTTGGAAGATATTCCAATCCAAGTTTAGAATAATAATACATACAGAAAACTGAACTAGACGGATATGAGGAAAATATGAGTTATTTAGGGAAAATATGCAGGCCAACTTGGGTTTTCAAAGGCAAGGACATCCATATATCCGGCAGACGCTGGATACATGCAGCTTTCCGCAAACATTCAAAAATAACTGTTATAGTAATAGGTGTGTACGAATGTAAGTAGCTTCTAGTGGCTGAGACGAATAAAATAAACAGCAAAATAGTACTTTTATGCGTTCCAAGAGACCGTTGTCAGTTGGGATTGCAGAAGCCACCTCGGGGCGCATCGGATAGACGTAGCAGACTGCCCTCGTTTCCATCACAGTTGCAGCATCGTCTAGCATATGAAAGACGCGAACAGGCGGAAACTCATCAACAGCAGGTCGACTGATGACAGCAGCGCGCGGCTGAAGGGTGTAGTGTTCGTTGAATTCCATATCCGAATCATATGTAAAGACAGTGCACTGACCATCAAATCGCTGCAGTGAATGGCCCAACAGGAAAATTAAGGAAACTATGCAGGCGCCGGACACTGCTAGTAGTATGAAGATGCCGAGGATACGTAGAAGCAGGTGGTAACGAGCAGACCTCGGTGGGGGACCCGATATCTCAGTACCAACAGGCGGTCGCAGAACCAAAGGCTCCGTTGAGAAGGTCAACTGAATAAACAATTGAAAAAATGAGGTCAAAAGGGGGCGATTACGAACGCTAAATTGAAAGTGAAAGTGTTTACCTCTAGTTCAGAGAAAAGACAATTATAGCTCTGTACTACTGTCGTTTGGCTATGTAGAAGAGAGTAGGCCAAATGTCGATCGATAGATATTACGGATTGTGGTCTTCGCAGCGAGGGCCACAAAAATGTCAAATAAGTAGGGAGTTTTAGCTAATTCAAATTTTTAGCTGAGGACATTAACAAACTAGGGAACAACGAAAATGTGGGCGAACAACACCAGTGTATGATCTAAGCAATGATACTCGTGAGTTGCGCTCTGCAGCGAGCTGCGTTATAAACGCGGTGGACCAGAATGAGCGCCAGAACGGCTAAATTCACGTGTATGTTGAGTTGAGCCGAGTCCACGTGAGCCTATAGTTACTGTTGCGCATGCGTAGTGCAGACCCAGACGTAGCTCTTCACATTGAGCCAACTACCGCGTCTAAATTGGCCACCAGATGATTTAAAAACTCGAAAGATATAATCCTGCATGGGAGAAACAACTGAAACCGACACTGAAAATCAATTCTTATGACAAACCAGCGAAGCCCTTACTGCAATAAATATTACATGCTTAAATCCGTCTCTACGGGGTCGAATCGTGGTTTGGAAAGTTGCTAACTGACGATAACTTGTTCATCTCGGGAATTAGTGAGGTCGTAATCGCTCGATTTTAATGTGTTCGTTACGGCGCTCAAATACTTCAGATCTCACTTTGCACTACAGTATGCTGGCCAACGTAGTGGGAGCCAGGCCGTGCCGCGCGTAAACGGATCGTTGGACGCTGTCAACCACGGCGTCCGTGTACATCTCAGACCGAGTCGGCATTTTTTGCAAAAGGAGCAAAGAAAGTAACAGGAAGATGGTGCGGCAGACGTTACGCAAGTTTGCTACAAACGACGTGATAGTTGACATTCATGATAAGGCAAGATAGGATGAAAAGCATACTTTACGGTTTGTCAAGCTAAGACTTAGAGGGCTGCATGCTGTGAACGTACGAGAGGGTGGTATTTCAAAGACAGTCAAAAATTATGAAAAAATACACTGTTAGATGCGGCCGTTAAGTATGAACCTAGTTACATAAAAATCGTTAAAAAAAACTATAAAGTAAACATGTAATTGTTAATGGAAACAAGATAGTTGCGATACGCCTAACAGTATCATCGAAAAATGCGCTCTTCGTCAGAGCCTTCATTCACCATAAACTTTTCCAGACTTTTAAATGTACTTCGCAAAAACTAAATAGGTAACAATCCCTTGGCACTCTAAATGAACTTGCAGAAGCTTAGGCAAACTAGTGTGTGCTGATGAGTTCAGTCCACATATCAAATTTAAGAGGAGGAAGATTAAGGATATTTTGCCCGGGTCAATCTTGTATCGTAAGGTGCGTAAAATCCAACCCCACCTCCACGCCGGTGCGCGCCGGAAACTTGCT